CCCTCGACGAGGCTGTCCACCTCGATGTGGGCCTGGGGGTGGGAGGAGAGCTCCCGCTTCGCCGCCTCGCAGGCCTTGCGAAGGCGGGCGAGGGCTTTTTGATTCCCCCGGACGTCGATCCGGTGCTTCCGCTGGATCAGCTCGACGATGTGCTTCATGAGGTTGTTGTCGAAGTCCTCGCCGCCGAGGTGGGTGTCGCCGGCGGTCGCGATGACCTCGAAAAAGCCCTCGTCGATCGTCAGCAAGGAGACGTCAAAGGTGCCGCCGCCGAGGTCGAAGACGAGGATGTTCTTCTCCCCGGCTTTGTTCAGCCCGTACGCGATGGCCGCCGCTGTCGGCTCGTTAATAATGCGCACGACATTCAGCCCGGCAATCGTCCCCGCGTCCTTGGTCGACTGCCGTTGCCCATCGTTGAAATACGCAGGGACTGTCACCACGGCGTTCTCCACTTTCGTCCCGAGAAACGTCTCTGAGATTTCCTTCATTTTGAGCAAAATCATCGAGCTGATCTCCTCCGGCGTGAATTGCTTCTTGGCGCCCTTGACGGTGACCTGGACCAGGGGGTTCCCCGAGCGGTCCGGGATCACCTCGTAGGAAAGCAGCTTCTTGTCTTTTTGCACCGTCGCGTCGGCGTATTTGCGGCCAATCAGGCGTTTGATGGCGTAAATCGTGTTGAGCGGGTTTTGCGGGAGTTGGTTCTTCGCGCCGTCGCCGACCAGCCGCTCATTGTCGTCAAACGCAACGACGGAAGGAGTGATTCGGCTGCCCATCTCGTTCGGGATGACGTGCACGTCGCCTTTCTGCCAAACCCCAACAACGGAGTAGGTGGTGCCGAGATCAATCCCCACGCAGGGGGGCTCCACCCTCCCGTTCATCTCCAACCCCGCGCCCGAGATCGCGAAAAAGGCCAACACAACAACAATCAGACAATACAACTTCATCGGAAATAATGCAACCGGACTGCGTGGGATGATAAAATTATTGTTTTAAAAAAAGAGGGGAGGGGGGAAAGGGGTAAAAAAAATACCCACCAGGTAAATTATTGGGCTGCTTATGATAATGGATTAAACAATATTAATAATAATAATAAAAGACCTGATTTTTAGTGATAATATGTTTTTGCTAATTCACTGAAAAACCCCTAACCCGAGGAAAGGAGACATCAAAAGAGAAAAGGGAAGACCAAAATTATTGGAAGAATGGCTTTCCCCAGGCAGGTGGGGAGAAACAGATGCATGCATTCTCATATAGCGAAAGCAGCAAAAAAAAAAGGACATGGACATGAGCATGAACATGAAAATTTTCCTTTATACCTTACTCTTTACATTTTTAGTGAAGATTCTAAAATGTTCGATTATATGGTGCGCTCTCCTAAAAAAAAATGGTTGACATTGTATATATACAGAACAAATATTACATAAGCACATAATTGAGATGAAATGAAAAAAAAAACAATACTAAATAGTTACATTTCACTGGTTTTAAAACTCGAAAAAAGATCGTGTAAGATCAAATAGAGCTTAGGATAAAGTTATGAATCCAGATAGGAATGTAAAATGATGATGGCAATAAGAAGAAGAAGAAGAAGAACAATAATAATAACTATCAAAAACGAACGTTGAACCGGCAACGCTTTCCTATCGACGGGTTAGAAATATTTGGATCGTCCCCATCGCAGGCCCTTCTCCGGAAGCTTATTCCCGTGCGGGGGGGCTTGATCATCTGTGTAGAAGCGCCCCGTACGCAGGCCGTGATGGCAGGTCGACTCGTAGCTAGGGGCGATGCGCACCAACGTCAGGTTGGCCCCCTTTGGTGCCTCCCAAGGGCCTTTGGTCCCACCAAAATTCGCCTCGACCCCGTCCGCGGTGCGATCCGTCCGCGCAAAGACGCGCTCCAGCCGTGGAAGGGAGACATCCTGGCGAGGAAGGCCGCCATCCAGCTTGGGGTGGGCTAAATTCTTCTTGGGGAGGGAAAAATCCTGCTTGGGAAGGGCTAAATCCTGCTTGGGGAGGACCAGGGGGTCGAGGCCAAAGCGTGAGCGGCCGTAAAGCTCCCGGCCCGGCTTGGGCTCGCAGCCGAAGGAGTCGTGGAAGGTGACGGGCTGGACTCCGTTGGGGGCGCTCAGGCTCTGAAGAAAGCGTGCCTTGGGGAGGGGATTCATCCAGTAGGCCCCGGCATGATTGATATAGGTGTCCCGACCACTGCCATCGTTTTCGTAAGAGCGGTTGATCGCCATGTCACCATATAGAAAGGAATAACTATCACGGTTACTTCCCTCTTTCTATAGGTACGGCTAACTAACTATATATATATATATATATATCGGTATATATATATATATATATATATGTGTGTATATTGAAAAATATAAATATATTGATATAGATATATAGAGATATATATAAGTGAGTAGTAGGGGCCCCAATTAGTAGGGGATGGGTTTTACAGGGTGAGCTTTTGGAAGAACGTAAGGTGAGAGAAAAAATTTACATGGGTTAAAGATTGAATTCAAAGTCACATTTAACCACCATGCCCTCTTCCTGATCCCAAAAGGGGTGGAAGAATCCTCTACAACTACAGAAGGGTTGCATCTGAGAAGGCAAAAAGTAGACTGTTAACGTTAAAGAACTAGGTACCTAATAGAAGTCCCTCACGGTATTAATAAATAGGCTATTTTCCCTTTATCATTAATTAGCTGCTACTTTGTGCCCTCGTTGTAAGATCCAAAAACAAAATCGATTCTTGAGGGGTTTCCTAAAAAGTTAATTTTTTTTTGACCTAGAAATAACGCATTAATCTATTTATACCAATCAATTAATTTTTTTAATTGAAATTAGACTTTTGTCATCGCTTTTTTACTTGCCAAAATTGCATTTACAAAAAATACAGATGAGCCTCTTCAAAAAAAAAAGCATTCTGGGTACAGAGGACGATAATTTATATGAAAGCTTCTTAAGAAAGGCGTTACTGTCTCTAAAACAGGAGGATATCTATTCATTATTCTATAAACAACAAAATGATAGCCTAAAGCCTCGGTAAATCTTTCAAAATTCTAAATACCTGCTACTTACAATTAAACTAAAATGTAAAATACACTTTTACTTAGCTTCTCCCACCCTTCTTTTCCTTGCATTTCGGAGGCTTTTTTCGCCGCGCGGCCTCATTTTCCTCTAATCGCTTTGCCAAGCGTTGTCTTGCCTCCTGATTATTTAAAAGCCGGAGATTCCTCATCTGCAGGGCTGCGGCCTCGGCTGCGCGCTGCTGTGAGGCCTTTTTGCAGGCGTCCCCACAGCCATGAACCTCCGGCAGGATGTGAGTCGTGCAGTACCGCTTCTGGCAAAAATCGCACACCGGCAATACCAAAAGCGCCAAATCGTAGCAGCCCGAACGCGCACAAGGTTCAGTCATCTTTTGAGACCCTTTTGGTAGTCTAATTTTTGTTTATAATATTTTGAGTGTATATAAGATCGTACAAGGAATAGGTATAAATGTTATAATGTAGGTTTCCCTTGAACAATCGTTGCTATGGTAATTGATTTAGCTACAGCGATTTAGGGGGGATTTTGTAAGTGTATAATAGAGAACCAAGAGATAAATGATGGGAAAAAAAATAAAAGGAAAAGAGTAAACGCATTTTTAAAATATTTTGAATATAGGAGTGTCTTAAATGCGGTTTCAAATTAAGACTGCATGAATATTTTCTCGCTCAATGCCTATCGCATCATCAAAGAGCGTCATTTTACCTAGTGTTCTGCGTCTAAAACATGCGCATTCAACACTAAACGAATACACACTCAGAATGTATTGCAACCATGAGGATATAAGGAATAGCAAAAGTTCTTGATATTTTATTTAGACCATTCCTCAAAAAGCCTCAAGAAGTAATAAAATTTTAAACTTCGTAAACATTTAACAAACGCTAAACGAACCAAGTTTAGTACTCACCATCGACAAAAATAAAAAAAGATGGTAACCAAGCAAAGAAATAGGAGTACATATTGGTGCCTGGAATATGATTTCATAAATATTTGTAATACGTAATCACCCCATATGAGTGAATTTGTACGATCGTCATTTTCCATTCCTTTGGCATTATGCCGACGCACATAGATCGGTGTATCGACTCGCCCTATTGCTCATCAACAAGGCAATAATAAGACCATAGAGCCCCAAAGCTTCGGAAAAGATGAGCATTAGCACCATCGCGACAAAGATATTCTCCTGCTTTCCATACGCCCGAGCGGCGGTGTCGCCCACAACGCCAATGGCAAACCCTGCCCCCAGCGATGACAAGCCCGTGGTCAGCCCAGCCCCTAAATGAAGGAATCCGGTGTAGGAGGAGTAGCTGTTGGGCTCAGTACGGATGTTATTGTTAATAATGACTGCAATAATAAGACCATAAATCCCTAAAATACCCGCCATAATAACCGGTACAATCCCACGCATGATTTTTTCCGGACTTTTAATCCCCAGATAGGTGACCCCGACCCCTGCCTTCGTGGCGCCGTAGGAGGAGCCCATGCTCGCAAACACCACCGCCGAGACGGCGCCGAGGGAACCGAAAAAGGCCGCACTCGGAGGATACATCACACTAAAACACTCCTCTCGGTTGAGAGACGTCGCGGCGTGGGCAAAATGAGGGCATAGAACAATTAGGCTTAAAAGACATACAATTAGGCCACCGAGCCTAGCGAAAATTCGAGACTTCGCTATGGATGGGAACATTTTTAGGTTGCGTTTTAAATCTATCCTGACGAAATACTTATTTAGCAATGAGGAATAAGAAAAGGAAGAATGGAAACAACCCTCAACCCATTTGTGACTTGCATAAACGTGACTAAAGAAAAGCGCATATATAAAGTATTCCCACGGGATACGTTATCCGTGCGTTGGTCATCACATTTCACTATATCTCTTATTTGCACTGTGTAAACGGGCAGACCTACCCCCCATACACACTCACTCACACACACATATATACTAACACTAGAAAAGAAAAAAAATGCCTATAGATTAAGCGAAGAGTGAAATCAAAATGAAGGTGTAATGCCGGTTTTCGCTTTGGCCCAGAATTATGAAATTAATAAAAATGATTCTCTCCCGCTGTAGGTTTGCAAGCCAAGGAGAACCTTCACTTTGTAAAGAAAAAAAGTTAGCTATAGTTGTGATTAATAATGTGTGAATGGTTGTTAAGATAGAATTAATAGAAAAAGGAACGCAAAAAAAAAATCAAAAATTAAATAAAATCTAGCGTAAATTTAGAAGCAATTTTAGTGCTACCTTATTGACTTTTCCAGTATCATTCCGTGGAATATGATGAACGCAAATATACCGTCTAGGACACTTATACGGTGCCAAAACATCGGATACGATCGTTCGCAACTCGGTGTTGATTTCATCAGACTCGAAGGCATTGGTCCTGGAATCGTACACGATTGCGCGTGCCCGGGCGGCTGCCTCGTGGAGCGCGACCACCGCGACCACCTCCTCCCCCTTTACCGCATGCGCCACCCCCACCACCGCGACCTCGTAAAAAATATCCCCGTGGAGCAGCATCCTCGCCTCGATCTCGAGGGCCGAGAGCTTATTCCCGTTCGACTTGATGATATCAACGCTGGTGCGCCCCATAATCGTGAAGAGCGGCGGGGTGTCCTTGGCGTCGGGGGGGGGATATTGCACCTGGACCGTATCCCCCGTCCGAAAGTACCGCACCCCGTCCGCGTCGACATAAAGCTCCTTCAGGGTCGCCTCCGGATTATTCCAGTAGCGATCGAAGACCGACGGCGAGGCGACGGCGAGGACGCCGACCTCGGCGCGGCCGTGGGCGGAGGATTCCTCGATTTTGTCGGCCGCCTCGGCTTCCAGAAGGCGGGTTCGGACGGTGGGAAAGGGTGACCCCACCGTCCCGGGGATGCGCGCGCTGTCGGGGCGGAGGGGCTGCCCGAGGGCCATCCCCACCTCCGTCATGCCGTAGCGCTCGAGGAGGGCGATCCCGGCGAGTTCGCGGAGCTCCCGCTGGGTCGGCTCGGGCAGCGCGGCGCTTCCCGAGACGGCAAGCCGCAGTGCCCCCCGCCGCCGCGGCGGAAGGCCGTCCGCTCGAGGGGGGAGAGCCCCTCGCGCAGCCCCGCGGCCAGCCGCGTGTAGAGGGCG